AAATACTTCGCTGTTTTTTAATCTTTGAAATTTGACTGATAAACCCGCCGAACTTTGTTTTCTATTAAGCATCTGTTCATTTGGAACCACCAGGGGGGCGTTTTATATCAAATCTGACAGCTAAGGATTTACTGCCTTCTGCTTATTATAGGAGGTTTTAGGGGTTATAATCTGTCAAATATTATGAGGGTCATCTCAGTCCATTAGGAAAAATAATTAATAAAGGGACAGGATGTAACATAAGGTGAGATTTAAGTATTTTTTTAAATGATTAGCATTTTTTTTACTTAATGAAAATACTTGATCTTAATAAGTTTTCAAGTCCACAAGCTAAGTTCATGTGTTTAAAATCCGAAATTAAGTATTAAGCGATGCATATTTAAATTAGAAGATTGGATAAATCTAAATTCTAATCTCAGGCAGAAATTGAAATATAAGTTACCATTTTTTCTTTCCTTGCTATAAGTTCATTTTCAATTGTTTTAAGCAGGTAAGACAATTTGCCAATGTAATGAGTTGATCTATATGTCAAATAAAAAAAGCCAACTCCATTTTAAGTACAAAAATATTTTTTTATATTGCAATGTAATCTTATTTAGCTGCTTAAGTTAAGAGCAAATTCACCTATTGGAAGAAATTTGACCTATTTTTACACCAGTTTTTGGATTGTTTCAAGCTAAACTTAGTTCCAAAGTAGCCTGGGCAAATCATATGCATACATCAGTATTTTATCTTTTTTATAATATTAGGTGCATACTGATTATAAAACCCATTTCCTTCAGAGGTTCCTGAAAGGATTTAATTTTACAGTGGATAGCTGGTAGGAGGAAGGATGTACAGTATCTATTCACAGGAAAACAAAATTAGCCTTAGTTGCTTAGAAAAGAGAAAGCATGATGACTGAGTCAATTCTGCTGTTAAATCTTCCTGGACACAGACTTATGGTAGGATTATATACCGTAGTAAAGGAGCGAGCCTCCCCTCGGTCTGTCCTCCTCCCCTCCTCCCACACAGACTGTGCCTCCTTTCAACCTTCACGCGTTTCACAGCTCCTGCGTCCAATTTAGACGGTAGCATAGAAGAAGTCTGCATAGCAACACTCATGGTAAAACCAGAGGCAGGGAATGGATTTGGCAACAATGCATGGTTGCCATGGTTAAGCTCTTGCATTACAATCTGACATCATGCACCTGAAGCTAGCGATTTCTTCCCAGTCAAAACATGTTCACTTATTCATGAAGAGCCACACCCAAACATTGCTGACAAAAGGTTTTGGTGTCTTTAAACATCATGGATATGACTTCAATTTATATTTTTTATTCATATAATTTTTTCACGTATAATGCTGTTTTTCACTGAAATTCTGTTTTGTGTGATTAATAAATTTTTTTTTTTTTTACAGAGATGCAGTGATGAAGTGCTTCACAACCTGCCTTAATTAAAGCTCAGGAGGCTGCAATTTGCTTTGCGGAATGGTTCCAGTATACAAAAAACTTGTAAAATACATTGTTTATACACTTTTCCTTCAGTTTTCATTGCTTTTTGCCTTATAATGTGAATTCTTGTCTGTTTTTCGCTGAAGGTGTTTAAATTTGGCCAGAATGTAACTGTAAATCAGCCTTGTCTATAATCACTGCCTTTAATATTTAATATATTTAGTAGATGCTTGTGATATTCTTATACTTTCTGAAGATTTTATACAACTCTTGTTCAGGGAAATTGGTTTGACTTAATGCAAAATGAATTGTAAAAACGACACCTTAACATGTCTCTGTATTTATGCCAAACACATTCTTTCCATTTTTTGAGCAGTAATAAGCTTTCTGTTCTGTTTTTGTTTTTTTTGTTTTGGAATTTTAAAGTGTTGTAAGCATGTTAGATGCTAATGCTTTGTATTTTTTTTTTTTTAAGAGTCAATGCTTCACTGATGATGCACTGGTATGCATAGTGCCTACATCTCTTTGAAATGGCTATTTTTTTCTTCTGCTAGAGAGATTTAAAAGTGCTGCTTTTTTTTGTTCTGTCTGATGGTTAAAGTGTGCATTCTGCCACACGTTGATCCCCCCACGCAAAAATGTACATTAAAGAAACGTTCTGTTTTAGATGTGGTTTACTGCCATATGTAGTGATGACCCAATTAATTACGCTTCCCTGAGCGTTGTGATTTTGACATGACCTAATAACCCAGCTTGCATTGTGCTACCTGTGTTGCATTGGCATGTAGCCTTTGAGGATGTGTTTGCCATGACTACCTCCTCTGGAGGATGCAAGGCTCCTTGCTACCCCCATTTTCAGAGCAGATGTTCACATTTGTCAAGGTGTTTTTTTCCCCCTGTGTGTTAAATGGACCAACAGCTTATAAAGCTTAACCTGACAAAGATGATTTATCCACTCCAGGATTCAGTCTAGATTCGTCTATAGTTTTATCTATCTTCCTGATTAATCAACTCCTTCCTTTTCTTAAACTTTAATGCCCGCATAGCTGCTAGATGTTTTTTTTCTTGTGGTGGGATTTCATCCACACAATCTCCCTTCATTTGTGCAACTAATTTGTCAGAGATCCACCAAATCCGTCAGAATAATGCAAAGGACAAAATGATTATTGTTCGTTGAATGTTGTGGGCTTTGCATTTGTTTTCATCTGCCGACTATTTTTGGACTGTTCTGAAGTTTCTGGTTCAAGGGGATGTGTTCTGACCTCTGCAATCTGCTGGCGTTCCAGCTGTTTCCTCTAGTTTTTAATCTGTGGTTATGTCACAGAGATGAGGGAACCAACACGCCTCTGCTTCCTCTTCAGATTAGCGCTCCAAATCTTCTTGTAAAGATGAATAAATAACTTGGCCAATGGTGTGTTTTTGCTGCTTATTTTTTCACTTACGGTAAGTCAGAAGTTTTGACCTATGAGCATCAGTTACACAGGTTTCTCATCCTCCTTCCTTTTTTCCTTGTGTCCTTCCTGGTGTATTTGTGTTCCTTCAGGATTTGGTTTTTGCAAGTTGCATATGTAAAGGATGCTTAGAATAGAGCTGCCTAAAATTTGACTCTGGACAAGTCTAAAATTTATCCACAACAATTTTTAGAAATGTCTTTATAAGTTACAGAGAGAAATTAAAAGTCTGCTAGCCCACTGAGCAGATAGAGCCGCTAATTAAAAATAAGACAGTTATTGGTTTTCAAAGTGTATGTGTGCATGGCCATATGATGATTTAGCCTGTCTGGGATGTACCCTGCCTTTTCTCCATAGACTGTTGGAGATGGATGGTTATCAAAGCAGACCAGAAATAGAGTATGTCACTCTTTTATAAGATGTTTTAAGAAAAGAAAAAGGTTGGAAAAGGTTTTCTTGTCTTACTTTGGGGCTGTGGGTTTATTTCTTTGTTTGAAGGAAAAAAAATACTTGCAGGGTGATGTCTAACTGCTGGTAAATGAAGCGTTGACTCCAGTAGCAAAATCTACCCCCTCTTTTCCTCTTAACTGTTTGTCTCTTAAATTTGACATGGCTCTGGGTTCAGAGGCAGGGCTCTATGACTATTCCCCTCTAGAGTCCTGCTTGCTTTGTGCTTACACTATTTTATATATATATATATATATATATATATATATATATATATATATATGGACTTTACGTTTGAGGAGTCTGATAGCATTGATACAGATTTTTTTTCTCCCTGATTATTTTAGTTTTCTTGGTCTGAAATTTCTTTAAAGACCAATTTTCTTTATAGGTACCAATAGGTGGGTACCTATAAAAACAAGCCACAATCATCACAGGCCCTCCAGCATTCATGAGGTGCAGTTTAACAAAATTATTCTTTATATATCAAACCCAGCTGGAGTAGGGATCACAGATGGACTCAAATGTTTTTTTCCTTGCACTAAGCTTTTTATAATATCCTGCTGAAAAAGCTGTGGAAAACAACTTCTGTAACTTTAGAAAGCTTCCCCAGGCTATATTTTTTGAGTATTTTCATATTTTTTATTTTATTTATTGAAAATCATATATATGAATGCTTGAAAGGTGACCTTATGCAATTGTGCTTGAAAGTTTACATAGCCTTCCAATAAAGGCAGAAAAAAATCAGCTGCCAGTAAAATGAATTGAAGTTTTGTTGCACAATCACTGAAATCAGGTGTTTTCTGTAATGTTCAGGAAATGCTCAGTCAGACTTCTGCACCTGTTTTGAGCATTGTACTTAAATCTGTCTGTCTGTCTTTTTTTTTTTTTTTTTGAGAATTATGTTTTAAAAAAAATTTTAAATCTATATTTTATGAAATTATCATTTAGTCATATTTATTACTTTTTCAGTTTTGTGTTATTTTAATTACTAGTCATTTTCTTAAATGGTAGAGTGTTTAAACTTTCAATCACAGCTGTAGTTCTTGTCTAGAGAACTGATAATGTTAAAATTGATCATGGATAGAATCTCTCTTTCTGTCATGGGAAAGCAGGGGGGGGGTCATGATTAAGTCAAATCTCTAACAGTTCTTTCTATTGCTTATTTTCATGACAAGTCTATGAAGACTGCTTTCCCTGTTCTGTGCACATTCTTAAAAATTGCATAGTAAAATTTAAATGGTTGTGATAGACTATTACACTTAAGGTTTAGAGATGAATTGCTGTTTTTTTTCCAAGATTCAAAATTTTACCAACTTTAATTTTACAATCCAAATATTCAAATGTGCTAAGATTAATTTAATTACTCCAGGACTTAAATTCTTCAAAACAAATATTTATGAAACCCTTTATTTTAGAACCACTTTAGATTGAGATAATTTTGAAAATAGCTAATTTTATAAAGATGGAATGAATAAAAAATTTAAAGCAAATCAAGACGCAGCTGTATTTTGTATAATCCCATATAGATGTGATTATCAGAAGGCTGATGTGTTTCATTATAGGGAAGACCCTAAAAAAATCTAGTAAGTGACGTCATGAGGTCTTCCGTTTCTTTGTTTGGCCTCCCTCCAGGCCACACCCCCTCTGCCTACTCCACCATAAAGCAGCCAGGCTGTGTGTGTGCTCCAGTTTTACTCCAGTCTGTGGACAGCAGGTGCTCTGCGCTCTGAGGATAATGCCAACATTGCGCCTGTGTTCGCTTTACGCACTGCCTTCCAGGTTACACTCGCAGGTTTTCATGTCTTAATATTTTTCATGCCACAAAGATGCCTTTTCCGCCGATCAGCCTCCAGCAGCGGATCTCCTCTCCTGGCAGGGATCTATTTGGGAAAAAGAAGGCCAACTCAGACCACCCTCTGACTGATCCAACCGGCAAATCGGGATCCGAGAAGGAAAAACAGTCCAGTTCTTGGACATCAGCACACCTAAGGAATCTAGGATGGAGATCACAGCAGGAGAAGAATAAATGCCAAGCTCAGAAATCCAGTTCTGGTCAAGAAACTCAGGGAAAGTGCTCCTGGCTATCGGTACCCAAACCACAAGACCCTTCTCTGGGAATAAGGCGCTCCAGTTCCATGGACTCCGCCAGACATCTCAGTGGAAAAGAGGAGAAAAAGAAGGAGATTCAGTTCTCTCTCAGTCTAACCCCTGAAGCCATTCTAGTTATTAAAAAACGAAATCTGGAAAAACAGATGATGGCCAAACAGCAGAAGTGCTGCGCCTCCGCTGACTTTCGGCACCGTCGTGTTTTCCCGTCCAAAAAGGCGCACGGCGCGTCCAAGTGCTGCGCACCTGGCGCCAAGGCGGAGAGCGCGGAGCAGGACATCACAGCTATAGTTAAAATATCTTTGCTGAACGATCAGTACAAGTACGATGATGTGGAGTACGAGGACGAGGACGGAGATGTGGATGAGACTGTTGTAAGGAAATGTAAAGAGTGGCTGAAAGGAGTGGAGAACGCAGCTGCTTTGGGGAAAGCAGACAAACTTTCAGCACTTCCGCACCTTAAAGGCTGCTAACATTTGACTTCAAATCCTTCTTAATCTTAAATTGAGAAAAAAGGATGAATTAAACAAGTATTATCCGTTTTTTTCTTCAGGTTTCATGCAAATAATATACTGGATATACAAGAATGTCAGCTGATTTCAAAAGATGTCTCTTTGTGATGATGTTATCTTTGGCAAAAAGAGCAAAATACTTTTGAAAAAGTTTATTTGGATCTTATATTCTGCTTTTTAATCGCTACTCAAGTTTTTTTTTTTTTTTTTTCCAAGAGTAGAAGGATTTGTGAGGCGTCTGCAGACTGAATGAGGGGTCAGTGGAGGCACCTAAAGCTCTCCTTTTGTGTTAGGGAACAATAAACTGTTGGAGAACATGAGTGCTGCTGACTGAGACTCAGCCTGGGTTTGGTACTTTCCTTTTCATCTCTAATTTAAGGCAAATTCAGTTAAAAAGGGACTTCAAATAAGAAGATTGAACCACATCAAAAAAGAACTCTCTTATTAAAAATATATATATTTTTTAATTAATGCCTTTTTTTTTTCTAAACATATGGACATCATCCAAGGTGTTTATACAACAATATGTACCACTGATGTCAGCACATTTGACAATTCTGAACACAGAAACAAATTAAAGTCAGACGTGGATGTTTAATTTGAAATGATAATTTTAAAACATGCTAATCTTTCTGCATATGTTGTCCTGGACAGGGATGGTAAGATAGAAGAAGTGCAGGTACAATAATTAGTAAATTAGTTGGACGGAAGAATAGATGGAGGGAGGATGAAAGACACCCCAAGAAAAATAAAAAAAGCATTTCAAGATTTAAAAGAAAACAAAATATCCATCATACTTTAGTTAATTTGTCCCAATTTGTGTAAATCCTGATGAACTGTTAAACCATTGTCTCATAAAAAAATAACACACTTACGTCCATACTTTGAAAAATTAAAACATGCTTGACAAAATTAAATAGTTTTAATTTGAAATCTATTTAAAAATGTGCATATAATCTGAATTTGCCCTATTTATTAATGACCAATTATCTGTATGGTCATATATGTTCTCAGATGAAGTGTCTTTTTCATTTTTAAGTAAAAAGAAAACTGAATGTTTTAAATAACTTTTGTTCTTTTGCTGATGTCTCTTACCCAGACTGCATTTTTATAAAGGCTCTTTGTTTCTTCTGTGCAGCTACCTGGAGCCATTTGGGCATTAGCATTTTAAGCTTCTTAGATGTCCCGTTAAGCAGGGTTGGCCAGTGTGCTGCATGCCCAATGCCCAGGTGAACAATCCCTTCAGCTACCATATGATGTTAGATTAAACTTAATATACCACTAATGTTTACACAAAAATTACACTATATTATTTTCTGCATCTCTGTTTCAAAGTGAGGTATTTTTTGCAGGTTTTATCCTGACGTACTCTGTTGTTTTCTGTTATGAGAACTTTGCTTTTACCCTGGATGTGTGCTTCTCAGGGAAAAACAGCTGATCAGGAAAAATGGTGGCGAAGTACAGCCAATGTCAATGGAAGAGCAATAAAGTTATAAAAGGAGTTTCTCTTCTGTGTTTATTAATTTTACCGTGGTATATACGGTTGTACATAGTAGAACATGAAACAAGTCAAAGTCTAAGTGAAATGGGACAAAATGTCCATTTGCTTTTTAAAAATGTGTTTGTGTGCAAGGCGAAGGTTCTTTTAGCCACTCTCCAGCTGTTTCTACAAACAATAGTATCTTAGAGGCTGTCGGACAGAATAAGTTAGCTTGCTGTGTTGAAAATACTCCCACTGCATCAGCTTAAAACAGCTGTTTTAAGCTGATGCTTACATAAATCTACCACTGATATGGTATTCAATGGGAGTTGGTTGGATAACGATCAAGCACTGGGATTTCTTATAATAAAATTTAGTCAAATGAGTTGGAATCACAGACAGTCTACAGGCAGGGGTAAAATTACATATATTTGTAAAGAAAACTGTGCTGGTATCAAATTCCTGTGGTAATTTCCTCGGATATGTAGAAAAAATGGTGTCCAAGTTTAAGATGCTGATTTTAAGTTTAGTTGAGGAATTTTGAGATCATCTCATTTTATCCACTTTGTTCCATGCACTGATAGCACAGGGAACCAAATGATTCAAATAATACGTTTCCAGCATTGCATTGGTTAAAGTGTTTGTTTGAGAGCCTTATTCTGAGTTCTTACTAAATTGTTCATATCATTGTTCTCAAAAAGAATCATCTTCACTCAATCTGACCATAAAAGACATTGTCTAGAAGCAGAGATGGCAAAAGTACTCACTTTCCGTACTTGAGTAAAAGTACAGATACTTGTGTTAAAAAATACTCTGTTACTTTTACTTGAGTAAAGAAGTTTAATCAGTACTTCCACTTTTACCAAAGTACAGGCTTGTAAATTTACTTAAAGTATAAAAGTAAAAATAGAAACCACTTTTTTCATGCCGTTGCCTACATTTTAAATGGATGTCTGCCAATAGGTCTAGATCTCCGTTGTGTTCATTTTCAATCATCTCGTCGTCCATACTACTATGCTAACGCCACCGCCACCAAGCTGCAATGATTTGCCGCGAATGAATACCGCCAAATCTATCGATTCATCTTGTAGTGGTGCGTCAAATGCAACGTAGATTCCCATCCAATTAGATTGAATTTGGTATTGATGACGTGAAAAATAATAACGGTAACTCCATTGAAATGATTCAAAACTAAAGTAACGAGCCAGTTTTTTAAAATGTAAGGAGTAGAAGGTACAGATATTTGTGTAAAAATGTAAGGAGTAGAAGTAAAAAGTCGCCATAAAAATAAGTAGTAAAGTTAAGTAAAAATATCAGAAAAATCTACTTGAGTACAGTAACGAAGTATTTGTACTTCGTTACTTCCCATCTCTGTCTAGAAGGCATTAGCTTGTCCGTTAAGACAGCTACTGATTCTATCTAAGATAAAGGTGTCTATTCGGTCTAGACCTCTTTTTCTCAATCTTATCAGTCTGCATAGACTCAGTCTCTGTACACAGCAAGGGTATCATCATCTTCCAGATTATAATCAACTAAGATCTTGGAGGTTCTTGGGTTGTTCTTCAGCATCATCATTTCATTTTATCTAAGTGGGACAACTTGAGTCAGATGGTTGAAGCTTGGACAAAAGTGAGCAGCACAACAAAATGGCAACACTTACCAAATCTGGTTTTGAAAGGAGGAAGAGACACTTGATTCTGAAGTGGACTTCCCTGAAAGCCAGGTCTTAAACTCAGATCACTTTAAAAGTGTGCACTTATATAATATTTCCTGTTCAAATGAAATGTCCCATTTCTGGATATCACCCTGGTCAAACATTCAGCCAGAATTATGCCAGGATCTTTGGGAATGCTGCAGAAGTGTACAGCTTCTCTGCAGCTGCATACTAAATTTGTTTTAGGAAATATTTGTCATAACAAATTTTAATCAACAATATACTTTTAATCAGACCTGCCTACATCATCTAGACTTTGGATCTGGTCGGTTTGATAGTGTCAGCTGTTTTAGGGCTAAAAACAGCTGCACTAAAGAGGAAACAATGAGACGACCCAAAAAAACAAGAATGGTTTTGCAGGTGAAGGCAGCAGAGCTTCTTATTTTCCCCTTCGTTAAAAAAATATATATATTTTGACTGCCTCTCTCTAGTTTCTCCTTTGACCAAGGTTGATGTCACAACTGGTAGCATGAGGCGATAAATGGACCCAAGAGTTTGCACAGGAGAACGGTCTACCCGAGGTTCTTTACCCATCAAAAGGACCAGTATCTGCTCCTTCATACAAGGAGGAACAGGATGAATGCAACTTGAACCCTATAATGTGACTTTAAGAAGGCCAATAGCTGGAATGTCCCTGACCAAATCATGAGACAGTCTTCACGAGAGTGACCCGAGGGCCCGATGGTCTCTAGTAATCTCTGTGTATTCAAACTATTGAGTACCACTTTGATTTGCTACAAGAGCATTTCAGGAAACTGGACCAGCCTGCAGCATCGGTTTTTCAGCATCACTGTCTCTGTGACTTTAGATGAAAACCGCTGTGGTTTAATTATTTTAATTATAATCTAATAATGTGGTATTCATTTGTTCCAAACACATTCCATAACTAGCATGACTTTTATTAGTAATGTAAGTGTACATCTAACTTGGAACCTGTATGGGCTAGAAAGATACCTGCAATAAATTAAAATTCCTTCATCCAATTTTGTTAGGAAAATCCCTGAAGTTTTATTTAGGAATATCAATCTACCTTGAAAACCCCTCCCAACTCCAATGCATGATTAAATACCCAAATTAAGAACTTCCATGCCCAAAATAAATAAATGTAAACTTCTAACAAGAATCACATGAAAGTCAATTCTATCCACAGGTAATATATCCCATTTGTATTTAATGGTTTATATAAACATAAAAGTAGACTAGGTGTTTTCCAAAGGAGGAAACCCAGTTTTATGTTGTGTGAGATTCCATTCTACAACCTTTCATAATAGATGCATGCAAATTACTGTTGTCACTGTTGCTTTTGTAAATGCATACAACTCTAGTGACTGAAAACATGAATGTCCATTTCTTCACCTTAAGATTCGGCCAGCAGTACTGTAATTATTTAGAGATCATTTTAAGGTTTATAATAGAAGGGTCCAACACAGTGCATTGCTTTGGTTCTCAGCAACAGTATGTTGAGTAATTAAACACTCCTGCTACATATAAAGCCCCTTGCTCTGGACAGGCACTCTCATTCAGGGTCACAGCAGATGTTCCAGTCACATGGGTTCAGACTGGGATCATGTCAGAGCCAACACAGTGTGTACCAGGGCCTGTTTGGTTCTCAGTGTCTCATGTAAGGATATTATCATCTGGTTTGTTAACCAAAAGTTATGTAATCCTCTCTACTATTGTGTCTTTTCAATTGTGGCCTTGTCTGTATGTCTCAGCCTCTTATTCAGCTGAGTCTGAATTAAGCCTGAAGCCAAACTACATGTATTTGACTGTCAGTATCTAGGGGCTACTGGTTGCTCTATTACCTTTAAAGCAAAAGGAATGCTTTCGAAAAAAGGACTTCAGTATTAATTATTGTTTATTTCTTCATTTTTTCATGATTTCATTATTGTCACAGACTTAAGTATCCAATCCTTTTCTATTATCTATTTTGGTCTGAAATGCAAATCTGGCCCATCCTTTTTTGGATAACAAATGAAAAGGAAATCACTGCAGTGCTCTTTAGTAATAGATCGGTTTCTAGGTCGGTGTTGAAGCCCAGTCGCACAGCAACATTATCTGGAGCAGATTTAAAGTGACAGAGAGAAGAACAGATGGCTGCTGCCTCCGCCTCATCATTAACACTCTGCAAGCAGCACTAACAATTGCAGAATTGCAGTCCCTTATTGCCCTCACACTGATAGTATTTATGTAGTAGTCTTTATTTAACAACTGAACTAGCCTAAGATAAAAACGGATGCTTCCTGCTGCTCTCTATTAAGTGACAAAGACATTTCTGAAGAATTGAGTGACATCAGACTCTTACCATCTAAAGCTAAAACCTGTCTTCATTCATGAGTTAGGACAAAAAAGCATTAAGCTGTTCTCCATCTTTGTCATCTCTGCCAGCCTTTTTACACAGCCTGTAAAATTTCTGATGTTTAGCATCCAATTTGGTGTCAAACTAATGTGGTTTACACTTTTATCTCACATAAAATCTAGAAACTGTGTCACACATTAATATTCACTTCCAATTCAGTACCTTAGAACCACATTCACCCACATCTACAGCTTTGAAGTCATTTAAATTATATGTTGCAGATTCTTTATTGATTTAGGTCTGAACTTTGGCTACGCTGGCTGGTTGTTTATGGTTGTTTTCCTACAGGAAAGAAGTTCTTTATCCAGTTTGAAGATTTTCTACCAGCATTGTTATGTTTTAATTGAATTCTAAGTCTGTAACTGCTAAATAAAACTACAGCTGGATGACTTTACCCCTTTACTTAAGTCTAATTCGTTGTGTTCATTTCTGCTGTGCTTCATACTTTTCTTAGCACCTTCTAGCACATGTTTACTGTGTCTTTTATATGGTTTGTGGTGACCTGCAGCCAGGAGTTTGTATGGCCTTGTTGCTGTTTTGGGTAATATTTTTCCTGCCTTCAAATTTTCCTACCTGAGCTGTGAAGCTCCTCCAGAATTACCTTTGCCCTTTTACCAGCTTTACTGTTAAGGTGTTCAGCCATGTGATGGCAGGTTTTTTTCCCCTCTCTTGTCATAATCTCTTAATTTTTAACTGTGTTCACTTGTGTTTGTCTATTACATAAAATCTTAATAAAGTACCCTGATGTTTTTTGTTGTAAAGGAACATATAGTCATAAGTTTTCAAGTCATCGTATCTGCTAATTCTTTTCTTCCATCCTTCATATCTTACTGTAGGTAAAGTTATGTATTGTAAATGCTGAGGCATGTTGAGTATCAGGTAATATGATAAGGGCTCTCTGGGAGAGTAGGTGGACTTACTCCTCCTGCTTTTATTTCTGGCTCTTTT